GCTCTCAATTTTGCAATACAACTGATGACTGCCTGATGATTGAGTAAATGTATGAAACTTATAGAAGTGGTCGAACTCTGTACAATTGAAAGGTAATACGTAATTTAGAAAAGCTCTGACATTTGATATGGTGTTGAGCACTTTTTTTCCAGTGTGCATTCACGGTAGACCCTTTATAAGAATTGCTTATTATCTATTAATTTCTGAATCAACCCTCTGTGACTTTTTTCTTTGGGGTTGGTTAAAGAAGCAAGTCTATTAAATTATACCATGGCTTCGGAAGAACTTAAAGAGCGAATAATTTCGAATGTCTGCCATACAACAAGAGTTACTTGTGAAATAAGCTGATGCGATTCTTGGTTGGTTCGTGAAGCTGGTAGGCCATGTCGAATTTTAGATAACACCTCATGTTAAACGCTTTCCTCACATATTCATTTCTTGAAAAAATAATAGTTAAGAAAATAAATTAAGCATTTTAAAATGTTGTATTACTTTTCAATCACCCTGTATATTAAGGTCCAAAGATATGTAGGAATTTCTAACATTTTCACACTTGACAATATTTCCATTTTTACCTATTTTCTCATATGCATGCTGACATTTTCTTTGTCGTAAATCTTCATTGCGCATGCTCATGAATATGTCATCTGAAAGAAATAATTTGAATGCTGACTGTTGTATAATAAAAAATGAATGAATTGCTAGCACAACCAACTTACAAAGGATCGGCTCTTCAGATATTATTGTAATGATAACCTTTTCAGTAATATGTCATACTTTATCTGTATTGATTTTTACACGACACAATTCTAAAATATGTCACATAGTTCTTTGCATGATAAAACCTAGATCTCTATATCGTCGGGGATCACGACACATGCCAATATGCAACGGTGCTGCGTCTAAAATTATCCCATTTCCCTAGCACATACATATTTTAAAAAAAAGCAAGGCAACAGACCCACTAAGACGCAAGGGGTTACTGAGTGCGTGTGAATATGAGAAAAGATTATCAAGAGGAGAGAAACATATTACAGAACAGGAATAAAGAAGACAAAAGTTAAAGATTGACATCCATTTAAATTCTTGAAGATCAAAACTGAGTGGAAAAAAAAAAAAGAATCTGGAAGAGAGTTTGCCGCCAATCTAGTACTGCGCTAAAATACACACACACACACACACACACATATATATATATATATATATATATATATATATATATATATATATATATTATTTACATTATTCGGACTATTGTCCTCATCTTTGTCGCCATATTTATCACAACGTTTCATCCGTTGTACGCTCCGGCCTTCTTCACGTGGGTGGTTGGAATGTCGAACTGAACCCTTTATTTCGCTCACTAGGGTAGACTGTTCTAGTTTCACGTGCCATGTTTAATGGATGTCAGTTATCAGTTCCCTCCTGTTAATTTTGAAAGTTCTCCACTTTTGAACTCACACTCTTTGGGGACTGTCACTGGATCTAACCAACTGTGCTATGTGTCCTTGAGGACATCTGGGTGTGAATTTCTGGGTATTATCAACCTAATGTCCTCAGCAATCATTTTTGCCAGTGCTCATATTGCAATTTTGCTGTTATCATTGCTCTTCTCTGGCACTCCTTATTACTGGTTCCCATATTGTATTTATTTCTATGCTTGGTCGGCTCAGGATATTTTTGTGGCCTAGCATATGTGCTGATTCCTTAAGTTAACAAATTTCCCAATGGTGTTCCTTGTCTATGATCTGAACATGATCCCACAGAGGGCGGTGATCTCCCTTCTCTCTCCATATGTGGTCAGCCACGCCTGATTTTCTACTTCCCTCGTGTTACAGCTTTTTGGTGTTCTTGAAGCCTTACCTTGAGGGGCAGTTTGTCTCTCCTTTATATTCCTTTCCCTATATATATATATATATATATATATATATATATATATATATATATATAAGAAAGGAATATAAAAGGAGAGATATATATATATATATATATAAACACATCCTTTTTAATTTTATCAACCAGATACATGTTTTATAGTTTTTTATATTTTTCGATTTTTGAATAAGTTTCTGGTGTAGATGAAAAATAATAATAATAATAATAATAATAATAATAATAATAATAATGGGACTAGATAATAAACACATGGTACTAGACAGTACACACAATAGGACTTTACAATACTCACATACAGAACAATCAAAGCTAATCGCCCTGACAACGTTATTAAATACCCCATACAAAAAAATGCCTTCTTATTGATATGTCAGTCCTTGTAGACTGCAGTGTATCTTTAGAGATCTTCAAAAAGCTATCAAAATACAAGTACCTTGAAATCGAAATCTCCAAAATTTGGCACATAAGAACATCAATAATTCTTGTGGTAGCTGGAGCGCTCAGATTTGTTGGAAAATATTCCAATAGACTATTTGAAGGAATCCCTGGTAGCACGATCCTTAAAGAAATAGAAATAGTTGTGCTCACAAGTACAGCCCACGCCTCACGAAGGGCTTCATCTATGTAAAATGTGTGCGAAATTAGGTTATTATTTTAATTTATTTTTTAAAAAATATGATCAGTGGAAAATTTCATGATGCCATTTCTGACCTTAGATCTTCAGTTGGTACTCGGAAAGAAATTAGTATACAACAGAAATCATAGAAAATAAACTATTACTACTACTAATACTAATACTAATGCTAATACTACTACTACTAATAATAATAACAGCTGAGGCATAACTTTTGGTGCGCAGATCCATGGTTTCTTGAGACCGACCCGTGTCACATATTATATACAACAAAACGCTTAATTATATAATAATCATAAGGCTAACAATTACATGAATAATAATAATAATAAAGGCATAAATAAAAATCGACGTGGCCTCGATATATCGGGGTGATATCCGGCGAGGAATAATCGTGTCTCATGTGCCGGGCGAGCTCTTTAGCTCTTTAGTCGTCCTAGCGGTGATATCTTGAACAAAACTATCACTTGCCGGTTAAGGATAACACGCAAAAAAGATATCAATGATTACAAACACAATCTAATACCGGACTGGTCGTCACCCGGATAAAAAAGGGCCGCGAACCTGAAGGAGCAACCAGTCTGAGGTCGAAAAATCTGTCAATGGAACTAGCTTTTCCACTACCAATGAGACACCTGGTCACCAAAATTGGATTAATTCCAACATTGGACCTAGTAACTTAATGCCAAATCTATTAATAAAAAAAAGAAGCGAAATGGTATTCTGAAGAGTATAAAGAAGTCATGGCATCTTTTTTCACTGCATTCGAAAATCCACAAAGAATATCACCATTCAGACATACCAAATATGGAGAGAAATAGTAGGAAATAAATAAGACCCTACCCAGACAATAATATGCTTGCCAATGTCTGCAGAGACATTATGTGGGATAAAAAAATTCCCAAATGTCAGAAATAGATTAGATAAAACTAAATATAATAAAAAGTACAATCAGACATAACCCAAACAAAAATGAGGCAAGAATGGAAATAAATAATATGACAGAGGATGAGATACAAACTAAAATAAATGAGATACGAAATAATGATCTCTTAGGAAATAAAACGGAAGAATTTAGATGCGACATAAACAATTGCACTGATTCAGATTCTGTTACTGATAAAGACCAATCAAAAGACATTAGAACAAAATTCCTTGAAAACAATAAAGATGAAATCACTGAAGCGAAAAACCACATCAACCAATTAATCAGCAAAGTAACTCCCACACAAATGACAGAAAGAAACCGGCTTCCAAAAATTCATATGACAAAGTCCAATAAACATATTGTGCAAACATAGAACACAACATTGCAAATATTAATGGGCAGGCTAAAAGAAAATATCACAGAATTAAATAATGTCATATATTTAACAGATTTTGCAGCTACGGAAAGAATTTAATTTGAAAACAAATAAAAAAAAGAGCCCACTTGGAAAACCAAATTATAGCGGCTTATAAGTTGAAAAATTCCAACCCACAAAACAATCTAGATAATGAAAATACATTTTTATACGACTATCTGTTTCTCTAGTGTACCAATTACAAGTCCCGGCACGATTGTTTTCTCCAGTTTCTCCATAGGCACGGATGCTTATTGGCTATGGTACTCTTATTATTTTTCAAATTATTTTCTCCGCCACACGAAATATTTTTATTTCCAGAAAAAAAAAGAATATCAGCGGTACGTTTATTTGAACAGGCCTGCTTATTTTGTCAGTTGAACAATACCCACCGTTATTCCAGACGTAAGATATCTTTGGTACAAATAAATCCTGGGAAAGATTAGAAAAATAAGTATCATATTATATGAAACAAACCAATGACAGCAGCAAGTAGATGATTGGAAAAAAAATATCTATATATAAAATTCAACCTCAATTTTAAATATCTAACTATAAAATTATTTGACATCGTTTAGTCCATCCATCACAACCTATAAATAGCCATTCTTTTAGCTTAGTACAATAAATTTTCATTAATTTTCTTTGGAAACATTAAAAAAAAATTATTTAACAGAAAATACTGCCACTATTTTAATAAAACAATTTAATGATTAAAATATCAAATACTTATCTGACCATGAGAGACCCGGGTTCGAATCTCACTGTGACGAATTTTAAGGAAGGTGACTTTTATTGATTAGGGGAGGCGTTCTCAACATGCGATCCCGTTGGAAAGTGTTTGTCGATGGTTGTATATAAAGTCGCAAATCTTCGTAACCAAGTGTACTGTCCTAGTCCAAACAATTAATCACGTCAGATGATGTGCATCCTCCAAGGAAAACTGTAATTTTAGTATAAAGAACAGCGTGTGTTGAACAAAGACAAGTCTGCCTGTTCAGGGGTCTGTAGCAGGGATTGGCTACCAGGCTAACATAAGAAACAACAGACTAAAGTTCTTTCCTTTTCTGGAAGGAAAACTACTTTCATGATTTTCTTTTTTCCATTTCTTCTCTATTTTTCGTTAGTTTTGGCTCAGTGAATTTTTTTCATCTTTCTTTCTTTCTTTCTTCATTCTGTTTTTCATTCTTTCTTTCTTTCTTCATTCTGTTTTTCATTCTTTCTTTCTCCTGTTTATTCTTTCTTCTGTTTTTTCTTCTTCTTCTTTCTTTCTTTTCTTTCTTTCTTTCTTCAATCTGTTTTTCTTCCTTTCTTTCTTTCTTTCTTTCTTTCTTTCTTCATTCTGTTTTTCTTCCTTTCTTTCTTTTCTTTCTTTCTTTCTTCTGTTTTTTCTTTCTTCTATCTTTCTTCTTTCATTCTTTCTTTCTTTTTCTCTTTTTTCTTCATTCTTTTTTTTCTTTCTTCCTTTCTTTCTTTTTTTTTTCTTTCTTTCCTTCCTTCCTTTTCTTCTATTTTTTTTTTTTCTATCTTTCTTTCTTTCGTTCTTTTCTTCATTCTGTCTTCCTTTTTTCATTCTTCCGTTTTTCTTTCTTTCTTTTTCTTCTTTTCTTTTCTTTTTCATTCTTTTTTCTTCCTTTCTTTCTTTCTTTCTTTTTTTCTTTTTTCTTTTCTTTTTCTTCTTTTTTCTTTCTTTCTTTCTTCATTCTGTTTTTCTTTCTTTCTTCCTTTTTCTTTCTTTCTATTTTTTTCTTTTCATTCTTTTTTTTTTTTTTCTTTTCTTCATTCTGTTTTTTTTTTCTTCCTTTCTTTCGTTCTGTTTTTTTTTTCTTTTCTTTTTTTTTCTTTCTTTATTTTTCTTTCTTTATCTTTTTTTGTTTTCTTTCTTCATTTTTTCCTTTTTTCATTCTTCTTTTTTTTTTTTTTTTTTTTTCTTTCTTTTTTTCTTTTTCTTTTCTTTCTGTTTTTCTTCCTTTCTTTCTTTCTTTTCTTTCTTTTTTCTTTCTTTTTTTCTTTGGTTTTTTAAAAAAAATTTCTTTCTTTCTTTCATCTTTTTTTTCTCTTTCTTCATTCTGTTTTCTTTCTTCCTTTCTTTCGTTCTGTTTTTTCTTCTTTCTTCCTTCCTTTCTTTTTTATATTTTCTTTCTTTTTCTTTCTTCTTTCGTTTTTCTTCATTTTTTATTTTCTTTCATTCTTCCGTTTTTTTAAAAATTCTTCTTTCTTTTCTCTTTCTTCATTCTGTTTTCTTCCTTTCTTTCTTTATTTCTTCATTCATTTTTTTTTCTTTCTTTCTTTCTTTCTTTCTTTCTTCATTCTGTTTTTTTCTTTCTTTCTTTCTTTTTTTCATTCTGTTTTTTTTCATTTTTTTTTCTCCTGTTTATTCTTTTCTTCTGTTTTTTTTCTTCTTTCTTTCTTTCTTTCTTTTTCTTTCTTTTTTCTTTCTTTATTCATTCTGTTTTCTTCCTTTCTTTCTTTCTTTCTTTCTTTATTCATTCTGTTTTTTTCCTTTTTTTTTTCTTTTTTCTTTCTTCGAATTCTGTTTTTCTTTCTTTCTTTCTTTCTTTCTTTCTTTCTTCTGTTTTTTCTTTCTTCTATCTTTCTTCTTTCATTCTTTCTTTCTTTTTTCTCTCTTTCTTCATTCTGTTTTTCTTTCTTCCTTTCTTTCGTTCTGTTTTTTTTCTTCTTTCTTCCTTCCTTTCTTTCTTCTATTTTTCTTTCTTCTATCTTTCTTCTTTCGTTCTTTCTTCATTCTGTCTTCCTTTCTTTCATTCTTCCGTTTTTCTTTCTTCTCTCTTTCTTCTTTCTTTCTCTCTTTCTTCATTCTGTTTTTCTTCCTTTCTTTCTTTCTTTCTTTCTTTCTTCATTCTGTTTTTCTTCCTTTCTTTCTTTCTTTCTTTCTTCATTCTGTTTTTCTTTCTTTCTTCCTTTTTCTTTCTTAATAATTTTCTAATCTTAAATTAAAATAAAATTTTTTCATTCTGTTTTCTTTTTCCCTTTCTTTCGTTCTGTTTTTTTTTTCTTTCTTCCTTCCTTTTTTCTTCACTTCTTTTTTCTATCTTTCTTCTTTCGTTCTTTCTTCATTGTGTCTTCCTTTCTTTCATTCTTCTGTTTTTTCTTTTTTCAATTTTTCTTTCTTTCTTTTCTTTTCTTTCTTTCTTTTCTTTCTTTCTTTCTTTTATTTTTTTTCTTTCTTTCTTTCTTTCTTTCTTTCTTCTGTTTTTTCTTTCTTCTATCTTTCTTCTTTCTTTCCTTTGTATCAGGTTTCTCTCTTTCTTCATTCTGTTTTTCTTTCTTCCTTTCTTTCGTTCTGTTTTTTTCTTTCTTCTTCCTTCCTTTTCTTTCTTCTTTTTTTCTTTCTTTTTTTCTTTCTTCTTTTACCTTTCTTCATTCTTTTTTTCTTTCATTCTTTTTTCTTTTTCTCTTTCTTCTGCACAATATCTTTTTCATTCTGTTTTTTAAGACCCAAGAGTTTTTTCTGTTAGAGCGTTCTTTTTTTTTTTCTTTCTTCATTCTGTTTTTCTTTTTTCTTTTTTCTTTCTTTTTTCTTTCTGAATCTTTCTTTCTCCTGTTTATTCTTTCTTCAAATTTTTTTTCTTGCGAAGAAAATTTCTTTCTTTTTCTTTCTTTTATTCATTCTGAATATTCCTTTCTTTCTTTCTTTTCTTTCTTTATTCATTCTGTTTTTTCTTCCTTTTTTCTTTCTTTCTTTCTTTTCTTTCTTCATTCTATAGAATGTTTCTTTTTCTTTCTTTTCCAAGGAAATTTTTCTGTTTTAGAGCTTCTTTCTCTCTTCTTTCATTCTTTCTTTCTTTTTTTTTCTCTCTTTCTTCATTCACAAGGCCTTTAGACGCTTTCTTTCGTTCTGTTTTTTTTCTTCTTTCTTCCTTCCTTTCTTTCTTCTATTTTTCTTTCTTCTATCTTTCTTCTTTTTTTTGTTTCAGAATTTTTTCTTCCTTTTTTCATTTTCGTTTTTTTTCTTCTCTCTTTCACAAAAATTTCTCTCTTTCTTCATCTTCTGTTTTCTTTCTTATTTTCTTTCTTTCTTTCTTTCTTCATTCTGTTTTTCTTCCTTTCTTTCTTTCTTTCTTTCTTTCCTTCATTCTGTTTTTCTTTCTTTCTTTCTTCCTTTTTTCTTTCTTCTATCTTTCTTCTTTCATTCTTTCTTTCTTTTTTCTCTCTTTCTTCATTCTGTTTTTCTTTCTTCCTTTCTTTCGTTCTGTTTTTTTTTTCTTCTTTCTTCCTTCCTTTCTTTCTTCTATTTTTCTTTCTTCTATCTTTCTTCTTTCGTTCTTTCTTCATTGTGTCTTCCTTTCTTTCATTCTTCTGTTTTTTCTTTTTTCTTTCTTTCTTTCTTTCTTTCTTTCTTTCTTTCTTTATTCTGTTTTTCTTCCTTCCTTTCTTTCTTACTTTCTTTCTTTCTTTATTCTGTTTTCCTTTCTTTCTTTCTTTCTTTCTTTTTTCTTTCTTTCTTTCCATGATGTTTAAATGTGATTTTTTCTAAGCTTACCTCCTCATCTATAGACAATATCGATTTTGTTTATACCTTCGAAATTGTGTCTTCGAAACCAAACAAATATTTCTTATTTACTTAAAAACCTGAATTTATTTAGGGTTGACTTTCGATATTTTTCTACCAATTGAAACTAACAACTATCATTAATCTTAGCTTTGAAAGGTGAAAACCCTTACTCCGGATGACTATGTAGGTGAGATATTTCTCCTATGTACCTAACTTGTTTCTTTGCTAGAATATATATGTTATATTTCTTCATATATATATATATATATATATATATATATATATGTACATTGGTATAGAAGAGAATATAAAATGATAAAACATTATCAAAGAAGGGAACAATAAAGGAACTGGAATTAAGAAGACAGAATATAACGATTGATGTTGAATTTAAATTTTTGAAGTTGACTGAGAAGCAAGAAACCTGAAGGGATTTTGAAAAGCGAGAAATGCGACAGAAAAAAAAAACTTACCATTGGACTTACTGTCAAATCTAGTCATTTCAACTGTAAAATGATGAGACCTGCACTATCCTTTTGTAGATTCACATTTCTGATGCGTGTAGTTTCCTCTTCATCCTTGCTGAAATTGTCCAGCATTTACATGAGACGCGGGTTCGAATCTCACCACGGTTTATTTGCCAGGAAGGACAATCCTTTTGGGAAGTGACTGAAAACCATACCACGGCTTGAACCAAGCCTTGTGATTAAAATTGTGTAGGCGGAATATTTCGGGGCTGTCGATAGCTGTGCCAGCACGAAGTCACATGTTGCCCTAGTAGACGGGTAACCTCGAATACAAGTGGACAGATATTAGTATATATAGCATTTCAACAAACTAACGCAATTTTCTTGTCTCTTAGTATTTTCTTAACTTTTGAAAGTGTTGAAACTTGACTAATGCATGGAATAATAATGCAACACAAAATGTACTTAGAACAAAATGTATTGAAACAAGAAAGTGTACACAATATTTACATATAGTCTTTTGTATATTCCTGGTAAGACCGTTCCTGGAGAATGTTGTTCTGAGTCGCAGTCGGGCAGAGTCTCTAGTTGAATCTTGATCGATTGGTTTCTTCCCGGTACCAACCATATTTATATGGTCGGTACTCCACTATGCAAATTAGGTGGATCCTACCACAACAGAAAGGCATCTTTTTGATTCAGTGTAAAAGAGTTATTTCTGTTACCATTTTCTTTAAGATTTACTCGATGCTTACTCGCTCTGTCCATGTGTGACGTCGTCCCCCGGTCGCAGCGCCAACTATGACGTTCTATCCTGATTTACCACGGCGCCAGTTGTGACGTGGTCGTTCCAGGGTGCTATCCCGGTCACGACACCAGATATGACGTCCCTAAACAGCACCAATTGTGACGTCTTCGCTGCGGCGCCAGCTGTTCGCTCCTCGCTGCTCCGTCCGGGTGTCGCTGCTCCAATCGTGACGTTCTAACCCTTTGGTGATTCGGGTAGGAATCTGGTTAGATTTGATATCAGCCTCGCCGTTCCCAACCTGCTTCCAACGCCTGGTTACCAAGGTAACTGCACTGATCTCCAGTCTGCCTACCCACGTTGTGAATTGATCTTAGACAGACGAGATCAAACAGGGGTTGGGGCCGTAATGCAAATTGAGTTCAACGGGGGTGATAACACACAAATATACATAAAAGAAAATAAAATGAAAACTCAAAAAGTTCAAAGTATCAAAGAAAAAGGTAACAAACTTTTTATGTCTAGTTGTTCAGTACATAGGACTACATCTATCTCCCGACCCGTTCTGTGGATTGTGGCACGTCGCTTTCGCTAGGCAAGTTTTAACGCTTCAAGTTGTCTGCTCTCTAAGAAATTGGTGTTTCGGTGTGTCTTTGGACGAAAGTCGAAAAACTTATTTCTGTGGTCTGGTTCTAAGTCGCTCTTCAAACTAATTGTTCTTGGTTGAAGAAGATTCCAAAATTTTGCGTGAATCTTGGTCAGCTATCTTGATCTATCATCTCTGCCGTCGGTGCGCGAACTGCTGGGCACTCATCTCTGCCGTCGGGGCGCGAAATCTGGGCACTCATCTCTGCCGTCGGTGCGCGAACTGGGCACTCATCTCTGCCGTCGGGGCGCGAACTGCTGGGCACTCATCTCTGCCGTCGGGGCGCGAACTGATTTCTGTCTGGTGGGGCTTCGTTTTTATTGACGCCGTCAAAACCGGGGTGGGCCTGTTGGCGTCAGGGGTTCTTCGATAATTCTAAATACATATCCACCCTTCTTATTTCTGGTTAGGGATTTTCCACTCTTTTCCATTTTTGGTAACCCTTTTCTCACTCCCACTTTCTCACCATGCTTCTGAGGGACGTGAACTGCCCTCCCCACTTCTTCGTAGCGGCTTCTCATACTTATACTCTGGATAGGGCGTCGACTGTTTTCTTCGGGCGTCACGTGACCACTCTCGGCCAATGAGGTCCTGGTCGGGTATCTTCCCTCCTCCTTCGTGCGTCATGTGATCACCACTTGGCCAATGACGTCTTAGTCGGGCGTGGACAACCCGTGGCTTTATTTTGGAAAAGAAATATACCTTGCTTAACTAAAAAAAAATTAATGATCTCTCCTCTTTCTTTCTTTTCTTTCTTTCAAATCGCCGTTATCATGGGCGGTTAATGTGACAACTCTGTTCAACACGTGGCGTTTGTCAAGCAGTTTATCGGTAATGCACTGGACAGCTGGATTATCTGACATGGTCTAAGAAAGGAATTTTCTCCAAGTTTTTCGCCAATTTGGCGTCTCCAAAGCAGAAATAAAAATATGTCAGTTTCCTTCGGTTCATGTGTTTGATAACAAAATTTTATTATCGCAGGGCAAAAGTCTATTCTGTCAAAACAAAAATCTTAGCCAGTGAAACTACTTGTGTGGGATTTTAATTTTCCATACCCAGCCAAGGGTTTTTTACACCTGTGTTTCGTCTAACGTTCCAAAGTGGACTTCATCTTTGGTGACATCCCTTGATAACACAATTCCATTTTTCGCGGATAAGCGGAAATCGGTCAACGGTTGTTCGCAGGTGGCCTAGATATTGATAACACCTCCTCGCCCACTCAATCTCATTGTCATTGAAATGAAACTCTTTTCGACATTTGAGACCTATCAAAAATAACCCTTTTCTTTATTATTCCCGTCTCTTAAGCCGTGTGTGTGTGTGTTCGCCTATGACCCGTCTCGTATTACTTTTTCCTTTCTTTTTCTTCGTTTTCTATTTCTTTCTTCCAAATCGCCTGAATGCATGGCGGTTCAATCCTCTTGCAAAAAAAAGAAAGAAATATTCTTAAAACCTAAAATACATTTCGGCCTTAAATAATCCTCAAATGGTTGATAAACCGTAAAAAAAGCAAATCATATATCTATAAATATATCTTTCAAATCGCCTGGATGCATGGTGCC